CTAAATAATAATTACGAATAAATTGTTTAATAGCTAAAACATTTTTTTCAAATACTATTACACCTTATGTCTTTTTACGATACTTAAATTTAAATATGCGTGTGAGACATACCGCAATTATTTAAAAATACCCATGTCTCGCATGAAAATTAAAATGTCGAAAAAAACCGATGTACAAACACATCATCACATAATAATATTTTCACGTGTCAAATCGATAACAGTCAATACATTCACTATAATATTAAAACTAAATAGAAATAGAAAAATAGAAATCAAATTTGCTACATCGTATGCTTTTGTGAGATGGAAATAGCACATGCGGGTATCGCGTCCTCTTAATATTCTCCGAGAAGATTTCATATATTGTTCGTTGCGTTGTATATTAGGTTACCGTCACGCCGGTATCGTCAAAGAGATATATTTTTCAATAAATTATAAAGTTATAGCTTTCGGGAACAACGGTATATTTTTCTATAGATACAATATATACAATATATATATATATATATATATATTTATTTATTTATTATATTATATGTATGTATATAACTTTTTCTCCGATTCCAAATGCAAAGTATGATGATTGAAAAATGATGAGCTATCGATTTAGCGTAAGAAAAAAAAAGAAATGCATTTCGATTTGACGTAACAGCATTAACGTCCGAAACCAGTACCATGGATGACTATAAATAAATATGATGAATAATATACACGCGCTGTGTCCAGAAAGAGAAAACCTTATTTATTGATTATTATGTCGTAATTTAAGATTCCTCAGCAGAGTGGATATATATACGTATTTTTTATACGACCGTTTTTTTTTTCTGGGGGATTTAAACTTTTTAATGCACTTTTTACGAGTTCCGAATCTTTCACGTAAAATGTATACCTACATACTAAATTTATTTATAGTTTTTTTTTCTTACAAACGTAATTTTCGTATTTTCCAGTTGGTGGGATGCCTTCCTAGTTTAAAACACGACGAGTACTATAACATAATATAAGTGATGTTTAGACTTTTAATTTAAAGTCATCAGATAGATATACTTACATACAGGGCCGTACTCAGGCAAGTTTTCTCAGATCATTTGTTCGAGCCCCGCCCCAAACCTATTTTTAAGGGGCCCGGGCCTACAAAAAAAAAATGTCCATTGAAAATCAGGCTTAACCCTAAAAAAATAAAAGGACCCGGAAAATTTAATTTGCCTAGGGCCCGCAAAGCTGAGTACGGTCCTGCCTATGGAACACTAGTATAAATTTGTTAATTCGGGTCGAAAACCAGAATAAAAATATATTTAAATTTTGATTATCTATCTACATTTAAATTAATATTATGATTCAAAATGCTGTACTATATATATATTTAGTTTTTTAATATAATTTTATTACTACTCAGTATTCAATAGTTACCGAACAGAATTAATTAAAAGTTTATTTATACAACAGCTACACGAAAAACAATAAAACAAAATTAATACTTACCTACATTATTGGATGCAGAGTCCTTAGCAACTCCTTCTCCATAGTGTAAGAGTTATTATAGTTTTATCAGGATGTGTTTTTTCTCAGAATATCTTTTTATAGTTAGTAAAATTGTTTCATACTATATCATAAAATATGTCTTTTTTTTTTGTTCAGTGGTGCTTTATTTAATATATTTTTTGAAATTCTCAGCAGTTTTTCCAAAAAATTAAAAAAAACACAAATTATGATAAATTGGTTTATTTTCATTAATTTTCATATTACCTTGGCTTTAAATGAAAAAAAAAATGGCAAGTACCTATTCTTTATAATATATCCTTACTAGTTTACCGAACTTTGATAATTTAACCTAACCTAGAATCGTTTTTTGATTGTAGTGATTCATCGTTGCTTTCAGTATTTAAAATAGATTAGTTCCCCTAGATCCTAATATCCTATACATATTCCTAACATCTACTACAGTGTAGGAAGAAACACCATAGGCAGACCACTGCTGGTGCGAAGTAGTTGATAAGCTGGATAAGAATTTTGAGAAACGCCGAGAACAAAACTCTCCAAATATTTTCTATAATCGAATAACTAATAATGTCGAGTTGACGTATAAGTATACGTGTCTAGTTAACCGACCTATAAATACTATTTACACATTATAAAATTATACTCACGTGTAATAATAATAATGTATAATCAAATAAAAAAAATTTATAAATAGTTACAATTAGCCTAGAGTACCTATTATAACATATGAATTCAAAATAATTACTATATACTGTATAGTTTCTGCCTTGGGCCATTTTCAGGTTACATATTGAATAAATAGGTGAATAAATAAAACACACGATACGTATAAAAAAACGTAATAAAATTAAAACGTAAATGAAACATTTTTTATTTATTCAATTTGTAACCCGATGATGTGGCCCAATGCCGAAAAAGTATACCCAATGTTTTATTAGTTTTAGATACATAATTATTATTATTTTTAAATTTAATTATACTTATATTTATTATTTTAATAATTTCACATCATTATGACTACGGAAAATAAGCAATAATAAATACAAACATTATTTTTATACTATTATATAGTAATTACAAATTACATTTTTTAATTAGTTTAAATATTTATAAAACGACATAAAGTCCAAATACATTTAAAATAATAATATTATGAATGAAAAAATACAATTTATTATATTTATACAATATAATATTACGTACAAACCTATTATTACAATAATCAAAACTAATTTAAATAATTGTGTGTAGGTACCTAAAAGTGTATCCCGCTTTAATTACTTAAGATCAATATTAAATAACGGTAATGACATAAAAGTATACATTTATGCCAGATTCAAAAAAGATAATTACTGTTACAATGGTTACTGCTACAACGACCAAGGACTAGAGCTATATTAAATAATTTAAAAGTCCAGATATATACGACATTGATACGCCCAGTGATGCTGTACGGCTCGGAAACATATACTCTCGGAAAAACAGAAGAAATAGGTTTAGAACTTTGTACAGCCCCCAAATGAAGCTAAGGAGATTAAATTTTATATATACCTACTTAAATATATTAAGAATATTATGTCTTTTATAAATTTAAATTTCAACCACCTCTCGAATCATTTATATGCACACAATTTCCACCTACAAAAGTGGTGCACTCATCAGCAGTATCAGCTCTTTTTTTTAAAATTTATAATAATATGCAACTGATTTTATAATACTTGTATTTTTTTTTATATTGGTTTGGATAATTTTATGTTTATTATAAAATCGTTAATTTGCCCGTATTATAATATAATTGCGTTGCGAAATATACAAATATAACCTTTAATATAACCAATAACCTCAGCAGTTTAATACAACAGCGACCGGTTTCAAATAAAAAATCAACGTCAGTTATTGACTATTAAAAAAAAAAAAAATACAAATAAAGACGACGAACCGAAGTTACGTTTTTTCATTATTTGTATAATTTTTGTGTAGGTATAGACGTTTTATACATATATATATGCATATTTTGTTTATATAACAGTTATATACAGTCATTACTATAATCCTAATACCTATGTTTCTCTTCTGAAATTTATTAACGTTTATACCTACTCACAGTGGCGCAACTATAAATTCAGGGTCCCGGCTCCTCTTATCCGTTTATATGTTTAATCAACTTGGTGTATACAGAATGAACAATTTTCTGTGGAACACTATCATAACCTCAGAAGGTATTAATTAAAGCCATTATAATTGAATACTTGGACTTTTCACAAAACGTAAGAAGTATTCTATGGTGATTACCAAATTTAGTTTTCAATAATTGAGAACGTACATGTTTTACGAAAATTGTCAATCAGATGATTTTTCTGAATAATTTGATATAGTATAATCGAAATTTGAACGAAAAGTTTCCGAATTATTCTATATTAAAATACTAAGAATACCAGTCCAAAACCCATCATTTTTGTGGTAGCACAGCGAGCGGCGTTTTCATAGTGCCCCACTACCTTCTTTACCTAAACTTAAAAGTGATATATCTCGTCAATGAGTTGATGGAAATCAAATATGTCAACACCAAAATTATTTTGAACTAAAACTCAGTCTATTTCTAGTATTTTTATTATAGGTTCTCATTTAAAAAACCAAAATTGGTATCAGCACAGGTTATTTCTTATAGTATTCGAAAATATCAGTTTTAACTACACATAAAAGCTTCGAAAATCAGAATTTTTATAAATACAAAATATAATATAAAACTAGGTGGCATGTTTAACGAATCACTCTGTGTATAGTGGTTCAAGGAGAGAAAAATGTTTGAATCGGTAGGTATTACACGGACAACAAATTAAACGACGACGACGGCGTATTACGAGTCTGCTATTCCATCTTCATTACCTATCAGTAATACTGGCGTATTTATTAAAAAAAAAAAAAAAAAACGTTGACAGACATCATTGTATCAGCTATCATAAATTGTGTTGCAAAAAAAAAAAACCAAACACCAATAATCTAAACTTTTTAAACCAAGAGAACTATATACGGGAGGACATCACCGTTTTCTACCAAAATAAATATTTTCGTATTTCACCAATACATGTTTATATCAAAAGAGATATTGACCAATTCTCACCAAAATAATAGTATTTTCACATCATTATACTACAAGTAGCTTTAAGGTATATGTATCATGAAATTTATTGTAAGGTAAAAGTTGAACAATATTTATATGATGTTAATAATACATTAACTTCAACTAATAGATTGATTAGGCGAAATTCATTTATTTTTGAAATTTTTAATATAAATTCTTCTACTTGAATATAAAAAAGTATACTGTATATGGATTTTGTCAATCTTACTCTACATATTTACACCATATTTAGCACATTTTTTGTACACATAATTCCGATCCCTAAATTAATAAATTATTATTGTCATTTTTGTCACGTAGGTATTGTTTGGTCAGTACCTACGCCTTGTTCTATTATTAACCTATTGACGGACAGTCACTGCTATAGCATTCATTGTATTTTAAGTCGTACTTGACTATGACTATTATAACTGCTGTAATCTAACTGTTATAGCAGTTATATTCAAGTTACGACTTAAAATACAATGACTGCTATAGCAGTGACTGTCCGCCAATGGGTTAACGGGCACGTATTTAAATAAACGTAATATTATAATAACTTCGAACCATCATCAATCGTCTTCATATTATTATTATTATTTGCATTTCGACCGCGGGTCTCTGGAAACCATGAATCACTGTACCTACGGTGTCGGAGTCCGACGACAGGCGACATTCGGTAGTTGTGTGCTTTCGATTTATGCCTAGGTGAACCAACACGGAATAACATTACAACAATAATACTATTAAAATAATATCTTTTATGTATAAACACGGTATTATCGTCATTATTTTGTATTATATGCCATCACCGCCTCCGTCTTGCGTCCGACTCCCACGCGGCGCGAAATATACGTGCATCGAATATTGTCATATTTTTTATTTAAGCATTTTAGTTTCTTTTTTTCTTTTTTATCACGGCTTGTCAAAAACATAATCGGAGAACGTGGTATTTACACGTAGAATAATTCATCAACTAACCGAAATTGATGTTTGTCCAAATGCGGTTGTCGAAATTGCACTGCGAAATCCACATCGTTCAAGATACGTATACGACCGTCACGGTGTGAAATTTTCGGACTAACCAAAGTTATTTTTTACCAACCGAAAAGGGGTTTTATGTTGTTCAATCAATTAATTGGCTATTTAAAAGCACCGAATTTTCCCAATTTCTTAGGAAACAAATTAACAAAGAGGTCATTGGTGAATTCGCCTCGTTCACCAGACTATACTCAATTCGCGGTTTATGAGCTGCACACGTGCATATGGTGTCGACGAGTGTATTTCTACATTCAAAACAAGCGTGTGGATAATCGTTACCCATTTATACTTATACTTTTTTTTTTACTCTGCCACTGTTTACGAGCTTGTTGGAAATTATATGGTCGTAAACGGTCTGGCCGAACGAATGCACTCGTTCGCCTTCGGATCCTTTCGCTCCGAGAGCGGTTAAGAAGAGAACGATCAAAGAAACCTTCGTTCAGTTCAGTATGTATAATGTGTACACAAACATAAAAGAACGAACAGTGTAAACGGTATGACCGAATGTCTACCGAATTCGTCTAGTATTTGTGACCATATTTTAACACATCTTATGAAGAGAGTGTAATACCCATGAAAACAACACCTCCGTCTTACAAACGAATAAGACATATCAAATTTGCGTTCAGCATGGACACATTTTATGCTGTTAGTTTTAATATTTTATTTTATATTTAAAACGGGGCGAGCCCAATTACGTTGTATAGAATTACATAACAATTAAACAAGAAAATTTACAGTATTTAAGATTTAAACAGACAATAATTATTTTACGCTGGGAACTAAGGAATAGTGGATCTTCGTTGGTCAATTTCATCATACGGACAATAGGGCGATTAGTTAAATAATTACATTGGCTAAAAGGAATACGACAAGGGAAAGTGTATCTGGAGCAGAAATTTGGAATTCTGAAATTAACTTTTGATAGGAGTACAGGAGCATCAACTTTACCTTTAATAAGTTTAGAAAGGAATATTAGATGAATTGGCTTATTATCAAACTAAAATATAAAAACATTATCCGTGTTATCATGAGGGTATTTTTAATATGTTAATTTTAAATCGAAACATATAGGTATTTTTAAATTGTAATAATTCACATACTTATATATAGCAAAATAACAAAACTGTGTTTTTGCTCTTTGTTTATTCCAATATAGTACTCAGGATCTAATGGACCTAAAACAAAAATGATTTCATCTAATAACAGATAAAATTGTCTATGCTTTCACATAGGGATTCTTCAATATAGTCATTATACAATTTTTATTAAGATAAAAAATAATACAACTTTAACTTGAAGTAGGAACAGATTATCTGGGTCATCCGGGAAATAGATATCGAAAAGTCTCAAGTGAAAGCACAGTAAATGTTTTTGTTTTTAATTTGATGAAATCACTTTTGGTTTTGGTCTATTAGATCCTGAGTACTACTTGTATTAGAAGTATACAAATACTAGTTAAGTATACAATACAGAGACGGTAAATATTATTATGGTCTGTGTTATCTGATTTACATGAATAAACAAATTATCTTTATTTTGTGTATAATATTTTAAGTTTGAACTAAAATAAATGGCTTAAACACAAGTACAATAGACATTAATAAATAATTTAGAACCACTAATATGTACCTACATAAATAACATGTTATGTATGCATTATGTATAAATATATAAAACATATACATACCTATTTATATATAGGTACCGATCTATCAGTAAACTTATCTTTGCTATACGTGTGTTTTTCATTTGACTCAATGATCGAAAATTGTATGCATACGATGATTGATTGTCAATTCGATTGTCTCTCGATGAATTCGATGAACAGGTAACCAAATAACATGGCTCAGGCGTGAGACGATGGATTGATAAATTTCATTATCATTAATTAATCAGGTATCCTATAAAATTTAAAATTAAATGAAGGAAATCGTTTAATGAGGAATAACATATGATGTGTTAAGAGTCGCAACTTCATAATGTTGACAATAATAATTAGCGGCATTCAACTATGTTTCCAAATGTGTTGACAATTGATTGCGGTGACATTGGATATTGGAAGTTTCATTTTTAAATACCTAAGTGTAAGAGTACCAAATGGCACATTAAAAAAAAACTTTTTTGTGATCAGTTTGACTTGTCAATTGATACTCACATTTTTAATTTAAAATATAATTTCGTGTTTTTTTTTAAAGTTTCTTTATGAAAGTCATCTTTTCTCCTTTTGCCTTAAACTATTATGAAATGAGGATTCTTTTGGATTAACTGATCTGACATGTTTTTCGGTTTTAAGGTGTTGCAAAATAGTAAAAGGTTTTTCATCATTCACTTTAACTTCACATAGTTTACAAAACAGTACTAATTTATCATTTAAAAAGATCGAGCTTTCAAATTCTGAAGCTACTACGTGTATTCATTTTTACTTTAAAAATGTTGATATTATTACATTTGAATATTATGATAACGAAATTGTCTAATACTACTAAGAAAGTATAGATAATATATATATTTTTTTAGTTGGGTTTATCCAAAATTTAAAATAATGATTTTTGGCCATCTATTTTCGTTTTTCAACCATTGTGCGTCGCCGCCGTTGTAATAATGGTGATAGTGGTGATTAAATAATATTGCTACTACGGTACAGACTAATGACCAACAATGTCATTTAGTACATCAAAATACTGCAAATAGGGTAAAACTTTTTTTTTCCTATTGGCCTTTTGCAATTTCCCGTTGTCCGTACGCGCGGGTTCCCATAAGGTATTCTCTATACGGCGAATTGTACGCTATGTGGAATAGCTGCAAATGATTGGTTTTCTGAAATAACTGACGACGTTCTTGACGTAGTGTTATTAACTTAACTTATAGATTCTCAGAGCTCTTATGACAATTTTACCTGAAAAATCTACAATTGACTTTTTTTTACATTGTTTATGTTGTTTATAATGTTCATGTTAAATTATTGCCATTTTATATATGCATATATATATATATGCACTTATAAGGAATTGTGTAATAATACTTTATAGTGTCAGGAACTTTTGCGTAGAGATTCGTTCTAATAAACACTAAATTAAATACCACAAATATCACAAATTGTGAAAAGTATGGGAGTAAAAAATTATCGAGAGCCAAAAGAGCTGAGTTATAATAGAGGCGCATGGAGAAGGTTCTTCAGTGTAAGATATATACACAATGATTATTTTATTGTGAACCATTGGTATTAGTTGAATAACAGGCTACAATTTAAAATAATATAGTGTAAATAAAATTATTAGACTATTGATATGTAATTATATTGTTATATCATCTTCATAGATATTCGCTGTTCGTGAAAAAAAATCACCCTGTATATAGACGAAACCAGCCGCGTAAGTATAAACTGTCAGAAAAATGTAATTTTTATCGAAGATGTTCGTACCTGTTTCAGATTTCTTCGTTATTATACCATGACCAAAAAAAAAAAAACGCCCATCAGAACCACGAAATTTACGAGGTAATTTATATTGTATTTGTTTCGGTACCGAAAAACACCGTGTCCAAATTACATGTTGGTGCGGTGGTTTTTTCGAATACGAGAGTACCAGAGTAAAAAACGTGTTTTATTATTGCCGTGGTTTAACCCTGTCTCAGCGGGTGGGTTGTAAAATCTCAAAACGGATAATTATTTATTTATTGTAAAAACCCTGCGAAAACAAAAAACGACGTAATAACGTGTCTAAAGCAAAAATATCTGCCTCGAGTTTATATATTATATATTTTTTAAAAAACTGATAATATAAATACTCTGTCGACTGCGTAATCTCCGAACAGGCTAGATATGGGGCCGATATGGAATTTTTGCAGAACATAATATGCGAATAGTGTTGATAAAACAGAACAAACACAAACTTCTCCGCTCGAAATCCGATCGGTCATATTTCAAAAGCAATAAAGATCAGATTATATATTATAATGGCGAAAAGTCTCATAACTTAAATCCTCCTTGTTATAGTTATATTGTGCTCAGAAATATTATTATGTATGAGAATATTCGATAAAATAATAGTTTTTTTAAAAATCATGTGAAACTAAAAAGCGCGATCCGCTAGAGTTAAATAAAAGATAGATGAAAATAAAATCGAAAATTACTAATGAAGCGAAAATTTCCAGTATTTAGGGACCAGTGTGAATAGGCTATTTCAACGAAAGTTATTTTTTTTTTCTTTGAAAAATTAAATCTAATGGAAATATTGAAATAATTCATATACTATCGATCCTGTGTTTGCATTTCTAAGGAAAATGAAAATAAAAAAAACTGTACGATCACGCAAAACATACCCGTATAACCTATGTAAAAAGATAGTACCCTTCAACGTGACTTTGGAGATAAAACACTAATACATTTTCCTAGAGCTGTCTTAAACCGTCCGTCCAGTTATATTTATTCTTAAATGTAAATTGTTTTTGAT